TTGTTTGGCTTTTGCTTTAAGTAGAACGCGGCTCTTCTAAGATGCCGTTTAAGATACGGTTGTGAGGGTTGCCTCATATCAGTCCGCTAGAAAAACTGTTGCATATTAGAAATAGCTAGGTCGAGGACCAACCACGGTTGAATATTGACGTAATGTCCTAGCAGTCTACAGGCATAAGGTAATAAGGTCATCTGTGTAGATTTAAAACTCTTATAACTGTAGGTATATACATTGCAAGGGACGTTGTAATTAGAAGAATCAAGCAGAAATTTTAATGCTTGGAAACGATATACAATGAATTCTAGGACTTCAGTAGAGCTACTGCAATTTGTGACGAAGGCGTAGAGGGGAATTAGGAATAACCAATCAGTTTGGGCTAGCGTTACGGTCGCGAAATCTGGTTAGAGGCATAACAGTACGTAAATTAACAAAGAAAAGACAAATTTGTCTAAGGACGAGAATTGTCATAAAATTAACATTCCAAATGGTGACTCATTCAGTCTTTTATAATGAGTGAAATAAAAATATAGGACCTACAGTTCTCAGTATTTTAAACAATAGGAACCGTTTCAAAGGAAAGTAGACTGTACAATCTGGTTCCCGTCGCAGGGAACGTGCGTTAGGATAAATATGTCTGTGCCCTGTTTTATATCATTTTTTTGTTTCCGATTACTGATTTGGATGTGAAGATGACAACTTTTCGAATCAATAACCAAAACTTTACAGGATCGTGTTTTTCTGTGAAGCAGGTTTACTTCAACATGAAAAAGCTCCGAATTCATGCGCTGATTGGCTCAATCAAACTAAGGGGGGAGGGGAGGTGAGGGGAGGTTGCCTCGGAGGCGCAGTTAGACTGAGACAATGTTTTTTGGGCCTGCTTTTCATCTTTTCAGCCAATCACGGCTCGACCAACATCTGGGATCAGAAACACAACACGCGCACGCACACTACGCGGAGGATTCCCAGACGGAGTCAGTTTTAATGGTCATGAATTCTTCCTCTAAACGAGGCCTATTAATGATTCGACACATTGCACTATCTGTCGTTGTGGATAGAGCATTTATCCATGCTTATAAGGTTCCCTACCTCCTAACTAGAATGCTGGTCGAGGTAGGCTGAATTAGACTAGTTCACATGATAAGAGTGAGGTTTTTTGTTCAAATTTACATATGCTTCTATGTTTTGTGTGGAGAACTCGTCGACTTCGTTGAAGTTTAAATCCATGACAGCAAAAACAAGGCTTGAGATATGAGGCCCCACGGGGACCATGAGTTTAACCATATTTAGATGAACTACCAGATGACTACCACGCTCACTTAATGAATAGGCGTTTTGGCAGATTTCGAATAATTTATTTTATTTTGACCCATCTGTTAAAAGTCGGCGACCTCCGTGTGATTAAACTCACGGCTCCAGCTGGGCCCTCACAGCTTAGGTGATTATAACGTCGGCTGTACTCAAGCCCCCTCCCTCCTTGTTGTCGTGGGTTTGCATCCCATCGAGGTGGTCGATTTTTCACATATAGATCAAAATAGAATAAAATATTTAAAATCTGTCAGAACACAAAAGTAATACTTTTGTTCTTTGATGATCATCACAACAGGGAAAGCCACATTTGGGTTTTTTGAGAATATCAGTTAATTTAGGGTAGGGTGATTCAATAATAACAGCACAGTCAGTGGCCAAAAGCCCATACACGCGTGTTTCGCCGATATTCTCTCGCTACCGGAAGGCAGACAGGGAATGCTGGGGGACTCACTGATGAGCCAATCTCCTAGCAGCTGTGTCATGCAGCGACAGAATATCGGTGAAACACGCGTGTATGGGCTTTTGGCTACTACCTGTGCTGTTAGTATGGAATCACCTTACCCGGAAGAAAACAAAGGCAGCCGAAAATATGTGTCAGGAGTGGGATTCGAACCCACGCCCACAGAGTGGACTGCGACCTGAACGCAGCGCCTTGGACCGCTCGGCCATCCTGACGCGTCTTCAGCCCTCACCATTACTCTATACAACTACCTAAGAATCTTCTGCATAACATTTAAACTGGTCATAGGCTCGAGAAAAAATGCAAAAACATCTCCAACTCAATTCCAACTGGTTGTTGGTACATATTAGGCCTTTTCAAATGCTAATTAGTTAGATTGCGTCAACTTGAAGAGGATGGCCTGAAACGCACACTTCGTCTAGACAAGACGACTGTGAACTTCAGTTCCAGTCCAGGCCTTCTAAATTATTGGCGAAACTGACTCGTCGTCTGGACAATTTGATATCAGGTGGCTGTAGAAACCAGAGGTGGGGTCTAGCCGCCGAAACTGACAACTTTTGCACTGTGAAGCACTACCAGCCGTTTAAAGGTGACTTCCATTGTGAGGAATCAATGATGACGTCGATTGTGTTAAGGAGATCATGGATTAGTTCAGTTTTTTCAGTTTATTGAGGGAAATATAGGTGTTGAATCTTTGAACCTTTGCATTATTATTGTAACTAATACTACTACCTGAAATTCGTCCTCTAATCGCATCAGACATTGTTTCGCTGTTAATTGCACAGTGGTGTCGCTCATGAAAGACTACCCATTTAGAAGGCCTGGACTGGAACTGAAGTTCACAGTCGTCTTGTCTAGACGAAGTGTGCGTTTCAGGCCATCCTCTTCAAGTTGACGCAATCTAACTAATTAGCATTTGAAAAGGCCTAATATGTACCAACAACCAGTTGGAATTGAGTTGGAGATGTTTTTGCATTTTTTCTCGAGCCTATGACCAGTTTAAATGTTATGCAGAAGATTCTTAGGTAGTTGTATAGAGTAATGGTGAGGGCTGAAGACGCGTCAGGATGGCCGAGCGGTCCAAGGCGCTGCGTTCAGGTCGCAGTCCACTCTGTGGGCGTGGGTTCGAATCCCACTCCTGACACATATTTTCGGCTGCCTTTGTTTTCTTCCGGGTAAGGTGATTCCATACTAACAGCACAGGTAGTAGCCAAAAGCCCATACACGCGTGTTTCACCGATATTCTGTCGCTGCATGACACAGCTGCTAGGAGATTGGCTCATCAGTGAGTCCCCCAGCATTCCCTGTCTGCCTTCCGGTAGCGAGAGAATATCGGCGAAACACGCGTGTATGGGCTTTTGGCTACTGCCTGTGCTGTAATTATGGAATCCCCCTACCCGAAAATATACTACTAGCTGCATGTCGACAGTTAAGGAATATTACGCGATTGTCCGCTGTGGCTGATGGACGTCGGCCCAAATATTCATACATAAAAGTACTTAGGTGTGGGCATATAGACTTTAAATATACCGATCTACTCTAGGTTCGCAGTTAATTTCTAAGGAAATTAAAAAGCTACAGTATCAGTTACGACGTTCTCAGATTATCGAATAGTAGAGAGATACATAGGTGTAATCGACAGACGCTACCGTTTGAATCTAGTCAGACTTGAATGTCTACTTCTGGCTAAGGTGCCATTATCTGCAATAATATTCCAAATACATAAACGGACGATTTGAGAGTTTGAGACACTTGCTCCACGTTTTCATACTTTTTGGGGTCTGAAATAGTGCTGCTAGTCTACACGAAGCGTCCATATTTTCGGCTGTTATCAAGCAAAGTCCCTGAATGCAACTGACGGGCGACCTTAAATAGTACTGTTCATGACTGCCGGAAGGTAACCCCCCTAGCCCAACTGAAAATACCTTAGAATCAGTCAATAACTGCACCAGTCTCCAGACCTGAACTTTTAACAACCCCGAGCGCATGTGAAGCTTCTTGGAAACTTAAACAGGCCTTTGAATTCCTTGTGTTTGTCATTGAGTTATTCCCTTTTCACAATGGTTCCATGGTCATACTGGCTTGGATGCTGCTATTGGTCGATCTACCAGGCCCCTCCGCCCAGTGCCCTTTTTGGATTTCCACTTATTTTCCTGCAGTCTTTTCGGTTTGACTGTCGCGGACGAAGATGTTCCCGTGTGCCCCACAGCCTTCCAAGTCACGGTGCTCGAGACACCAGAGGGGCCGCGTGGAGACCGAGCCGAGACGCACGCTTCCCACCTGCGTGGGAGGTGGAATTTGGATGCAGGTGGTGGGTAATGATGTTTTATGGTGCAGGTGTTGGTGGCAAAAGATGTGATGGTGTGGTGTAGCCGGCGGTTGTCTACTGCAGGTTTTCGTGAATGCGCAGTTGGCCTAATAGACCCAAGCGGTGGCTGAATGTGCGGTTGCAGTGAGGGCAGTTGAGGTGGATGCGTCTGGTTTATGTTGGTGCTCCATGCGCTGGTTCGCCAGCCTCTGTGTAATGTATTCGCAAGTGACCGACCAGGCCGATGTTTGAGGTTAAGGTGCAGTCGCAATGAGGAGGAGGAGGAGGAGCCGAGATGCCCATTTCCCACTTGCAAGGGAGGTGGCAGCTGGATGGTTGTGATGGGCGAGGACGTCGCGTGATGTAGGTTGGGGGGGAGATATGATGGTCTGGCGTAGGCGGCGGTTATCTACCGCAGGTTATCGCGAACGCGCATGGGGCCTAATAAGCCCACGCGGTTGGTGAGTGTGCGGGTGCAGTGATGGCAGTTGAGGCGGATGCGGCGAATGTATGTGGACGCTCCATGTACTGGCTCGCCGGTCTCAGTGCGATGGATTTGCAAGCAACCGACCAGGCCGATGTGTGAGGTGAGAGTGCGATTGTAATGAGGACAGGCAAAGGCCGGGTCCTCATAACTGATGTTGACGGGGTTGATGTTAGAGTTTGTTGGTGTGACAGGATTATGTGTAATTTTAATGGGTATGACTGATGCCACAGCGGCATAGGCGAGAAGAGGCATAAAGGGGAGGAGGAGGAGGAGGAGGAGTAGGAGGAGTAGGAGGAGAATGGGAGTGGGGGTTCAGGAGTGCGTTCCGTGTTAGTTGTCGGCCTGGGGGAAGAGACAGAGTTGGACGGGTAGACAGCGGCCGGTGTAGTCCAGGTACTGCAGTTAGTACGAAGGTTCCCCATAAGGCAAATCGGTGCTCAGAACGTCTGCTGACAGTGTGAGCAGGTCAGGGGCGGTTGAACGTTGATATTACGGGGTGGAGGCAGTTTAGATTTGCGAGCCTCACGTTTGGCTTTGGCAGCGGTGATGCGGTTGGCTTCGTATATCGCTGCGCCTATCTTCACTGTCCTTCTCCAGGACGGTTGGTCTCGAGCGAGCTCTACCCAGTTGGCCAGGCTGATCTGCGGGCGTTTCAAGGAGGTTTTCGGAGCATGCATGTGGCCCCGGACATGACCACCTTGTCGGCGTGAACCCGTCACAACATCTCCATAGAATAGTCGTTTGAGTAGGCTCTCGTCGTCCATCCGCACGAAGCGACCACTCCAACACCGTTGCCGTGGTCTCAGCATGTCGTGGATGCCGAGGATTCCCGTCCTTTCCAGTACATCCGTGATGGGAATCCGGTCCTTTAACCTCAGCTTCAGTATTCGACGAAGGAAGTGGTTGAGTCTTCGTGCCTGCCTCATGTTCACCGTCCAGGTCTCTGCTCCATACAGCAGTGTCGGCAGGATGACTGCCCTACACATCTTCAGCTTCGTGTTGAGATGGAGTTCGTGACGGTTCCATAAAGTGTTCTGCAGGCGGCCGAAGGCCTGGCTGGCTTCGGAAATCCGGCGAGCCACTTCATCGTCGACTTTGGTGTTACGGGAGAGCGTGCTACCGAGGTAGGTAAAGTTGTCCACGACTTGCAGTTTGGCGCCGTTCACGCTGATTTGGGCCGCAACGTAGGCAGCGTCGGGTAGTAGTTGATGCATGACCACCGTCTTCTGCGTGTTGACGATCAGGCCGAAGTTTTCGCAGGCGGCGGAGAAGAGATCCATACTTCACTGCATGTCTCCCTCAGTAGTTACACAGAGGGCGCATCCATCGCCGGACAGAAGTTCGTGGACGGTGTTTAATTGATACACGCGACTGGAAGTGCATCTGTCGCTGATTGAGGAAGTGGCCGTCCGTCCTGTAGGTGATGCGGATCCCAGGAAGTTCGTAACGGCAGGCGTCCATCAGCATGACGGAGAACATGAGACTGAAGAGGGTAAGCGCGAGGACGCAGCCCTGCTTCACTCCGTTAATCACTGCGAATTCCTGTGAGACAGCTCCATTGTCCGTGATACGCACCATCCGTGACGACCCATCCGAGTGAATCGTTCAAAACAGCTGAATTTCCACAAACCGTCACGATCCACCCTGTCGAAAGCTTTTGTCGGACTCACGAATGTAGAGTACGGGTGGACCCACATGTACTGACAATTCTCCTGACGTTGGCGGTCGACGAAGACCGTGTCCGTGATCCCACGATGCCGACGGAAGCCGTACTGGCTTTTCGGCGGAAAACCTTTTTCTAGGTGATTGTTCAGACGTTTGAAAATGATGTGAGCGCAAATTTTCCACGCGATGTTCAGCAAGGATATGGCCCGGTGTTGTGTTAGAGCTGGCGGTTTCCTCTCCGCTTGTGGCGTCCTTAAAATCCTGCGGGACATCTTGACGCCACATCTCCTGGAAGAGCGCAGTCAGGTGATCCATGAGTTGGAAGCCACCGTGCTTATAGGTCTCAGCGGGGATCACGTCCGATCCGAGCGCTTTCCTGCTGGAGATCTGCTGCACGGCCCTGATGGTTTCGTGGAGAGAGAGAGCGGTAGGTTTAGGTCAGCGTTGGACTCCACTTGAGGCAGAAATGAGATGGCGGCGTCAGAGATGATGGAGAGACGGTTGAGGATGCCTCGGAAGTGCTCGGCCCATTGCTGTAAAATTTGTGTCTTCTCAGTCAGGAGGGTACTGCCGTCGGCGCTGAGGAGAGGAGCAGTGCCCTTTGTCGGCGGACCGTAGACAACTTTGATCGCGGAGAAGTTCTTTTATTCGTTGCGTTCCGCGTACCCCTGGATCTCCTCAGCTTTGTGAACAGCCCGGACGTTCTGCATCACGCGCAGACGTTGCTGAAGCTGGCGGCGACTGCGGTAGAAAGCAGCTTTGCTGTCGTCAGTGAGGTGGTCTACGCAGGCTCTGTGTAGGCGGTCCTTCTCGGCGAACAGATTGCTGATGACGGCATCGTTGTCATCCAAACATTCCTGATGTTGGCAACGTGCGCGACTAAGGACGGCCAGCGCCGTCGACTGTACTGTGTCTCGAAGTTGACACCATCGGTTCTCCACGGAGCCGTACTCATCGGCATTAGCGGTGGCGGCGGCCACTGGAAAGTTGTCTAGCCTTTGAGCTAGCTCGTTGCTGAAATGGAGGTGGCGAGCAGGCAAAGACACCAAGGCAATATTCAGCTTAATTGGGGGGCGTTTACCTCGCGGTCTTCCGCGAGGCTGCAGGCGAATCCGCATCTTCGAGATGGTCGGTCCACCCGTCAGCGTCCGCGATCGCCTTTATCACAAACACATCCCTTTGGACGAGGACATAGTCCAGCAGGTGCCACTGACGCGACCGAGGAGGCCTCCAGGTGGCCTTCTCTCGCCTAGGTAGGCGGAAGGTGTTGGTCAGGACAAGCTGGTGTTCTGCGCAGGTTTGTAGGAGGAGCAAGCCATTGTCATTGTAGCTGTCAAGACCATGGTGACGCAGCACTTCTCTACAGGCATCATGGTATGTGCCAAAGCGGGAGTTGGAGTCACCAAGGCCAGTCAACTTACCCTCCTTCGGCACAGTCGCAAGGAAAGCCTGCAGGTACTCGTAGAATTTATTCCTCGCCTCGTCCGAGCTGGTCATCGGTGGAGCTTAGGCACTGATGATGGTGGCGAATTTGCCTCCCCGGAGAGGCAGGCGAAGGCTCATCAGGCGACCGTTGACGCCCTGCGACAGACAGGACAGTCTCCCACTATGCTGTTCCGGATGGCAAAGGCGACACCCGCGTCTCGTCGCTCTGCCCTGGGGCGACCGCTCCAGAAGAAGGTGTAGCCGGCACCCACTTCCTCCAGTTGGCCTTGTTCGGAGAATCGAGTCTCGATGAGTGCAGCGATGTCCACCTTGTAGCGCGTCAGTTCCCGATCCACTAGCGCTGTCCTCCGTTCCAATCGGTTTCTCCTTCGATTGCCTAAAAGAGAACGAACCTTCCAGGTTGCCAGAGCGAGCAGACTCGCTCTACCCGCCTGGCGAGTGGAGTGACGGGGAGGAGAAGGAGGGGGAAAATCGAGAATGTTGTTTCAGTTTTGATTGTTTCGACCGAGAGTTTTGCGGCTGAGGCCACGGTCAGCCTGAAGACGACGTGGATCCCCAGCATTTGCTTAGGGCACCTTTTCTAGTCCTTTCCCCTCGCGAGGGTGTGCAGTGCTCTCCTTAACTAGGGCTGCTGAGTTGTGTCAGGCGTCTGGCAAACTGCGGTATGACCCGAGTTAGCCTAGGCCTGCCTACGACAACGCCGTAGGACTTGAAGGGAGGGGGTGGATGGGGGAAGTGTAGAGAGAGGGGATGCAGAGCCTTCCCGTCCTTCTCTAAGCTAGCTGGTTGCTGAAATGTAAACGCTGTGCAGACGAATTCAAAAGAACGGCATCTAGCTTACAATAAGGACAAACACAAACAAACAGACAAAAGCAAACAGGCAAGAACAGAAAACAGCAGAGGCAACAGAGGGAATTCAACAGATCGGCATCTAGTTCACAGACAAGCAGACAAATAGCAACCCAGCAGAGCACTTTTCGCTTCGCTGGGGACACTTACCTTGTGGTCTCCTGCGGTGTTACACACGAAGTCGCGGCTAGATCGCAGTTGGTAGCCCGGAATGGGAAGCGGACGGCGACCTTGACCCTAATCCCCACCTTAACCCTAACCTCAATCGTTACCGTTAACCGTTAACCCAAACGGCAATCCTAACTCTAGCCGAAATCGTAAACTTAACCGTAGCCCTTAGACATAGCCGTAACTGAGAAGCCTAACCGTAATATTGGAACCTATTCGTACGCTAAAACCCTAACCATAATCCGAAAACTTAAGCCTAAAGGCGTAACCTTAACCGGAAAATCGGAAACCAGTAACCGGTACCCTAATCCTAACCTCAAGCGTAAAACGGAAGCCAAATGTGTCAGATATGATTATGGAGCCCCACAAAATAACCCCAGTAAACAAATCTCCCAGCGACCTGTAATGCGGGTCCGGGCTACCAACTGCGATCTAGCCGAAGTCGCGTCTCAGAGATGCCGAGGTGGTGGTCCGTCCATCCGGCCGGCGGAGCCGGGTCTAGCCCGCCGGTTGAGGCGGCTACCGGGGTGTCGCCCGTAGGAAGAACCTAGCTTCGGGGAACCACAGGTAAGAGTTGGTTGCCAGTAAGTGGATGCTAGACGTAGGCTGCACCCGTGAGCGAGTGAGCGGCCGTCGCGTAAACCCACAACTGGACACTCCAACACTCCTGTTATATTTAGGATCTAGTTGAAATGCCCCACAGTTGACCTTTCTCTTTCCTGTCTCGTACGCCAGTCCACTGTCCGCGCCGTTTAACCAACCGGCGCAGAAATCTGGCGCAGTGGATGGTGCGGCATGAAACCTACAAACAGACGTGCTACCCCTCCCCCTCGTGTGCGGCAGTATGCCCTGCGCGGCCAATTAGCGCATGTCATGACTCCAGTCAAGCCCACAATGTGGGCCGGAGTCTCTACAGCGCAGCCCGTTGGGGGGGGGGGGTGAGGGGGGGCGTATTCGGCCATACGCGTATGCATACTCGCTGGCAGCATGACATGGGAAATCGCGCGTGCAACGTCTGTTCAAGGGAATAGAGGGCGAGAAGGCGCAGGCCGCGCTCCGCGAAGTAGAGGACCAGCACGTATGCGGCACGCGTAGACGTGCCTAAGCCGGGTCAACAGACGACGACTCCAAGGAGAACAACAGGCATCGAAACATTCCTTCGGCCTATAAAGTCCTACGTCATTACATACGCCACGACTAGGACAAGAC